GAGGACGAGGAGGACGAGGAGGAGGAGGAGGAGGAGGAGCAGGAGGAGCAGGAGGACGAGGAGGACGAGGAGGACGAGGAGGACGAGGAGGACGAGGAGGACGAGGAGGACGAGGAGGACGAGGAGGTCGAGGAGGAGGAGGAGGAGCAGACGAGCAGGAGGACGAGGAGGACGAGGAGGACGAGGAGGACGAGGCGAGACGAGGAGGACGAGGAGGACGAGGAGGACGAGGAGGTCGAGGAGGAGGAGGAGGAGAAGGAGGAGGAGGAGGAGGAGGAGGAGGAGGAGGAGGGAGGAGGAGGAGGAGGAGGACGACGAGGACGAGGAGGAGGAGGAGGAGGAAGAGGGAGGAGGGAGGAGGAGGACGAGGAGGAGGGGGCCGGCTGTCTGCCCCCTATACCCTACTTTTCGTTCGCTCGCCCCCCTGTGCACCGCAGGGAGGCGGTGCTTGAGCACGACGGGGTAGACTAGCACCGTGGGTTGCGAAGTCAACGCCTGTCTCAAGTCTAGATTTAAGTCGGGCATGTCCCTCTACAGGAAACATTATTTGTTGGTTAGTTGAATGTTGTTTGCGTATGGCTTGTTGTTCGTTCAAAATCCCCCTGAATGAGGGCACGCCCGACCTAAATCTAGATAAAAATGCGTCAGCGCGCGCTCCCCCTCGCCCCAGACTTCAAGGTTGACGGGTAAGCAACAGCCCCCCCCGCAAAAGTGGGCGTTTGTTTCGAAACCACGTCGCGCTCCCTTCACGTCGGCCAACATTGAGATGTGGGGTCCGGGGTGGGTCTTCGCGGCACTTTTACCTGCGGGCGTTTATTTCGCAAACGGCGGTAGCGCCGCCCACACTCGCAGTCTCGTCATTTCCCTTCGTGTGCACTCTTCCTCGTATATCAGATCTTGCTCCTTGGAGTCGTGTGACTTGTCTCTTGTCACCCCCTGCCTCGTGGGAACGCCTCTGCTGTGAGATGTCGAGAGGTCGTGCGGCCACGCTAGAGGACTGTGTGATCCCCCAGCAATTGGGGAAACAGCCAGTTGAGAAACAGAGTGATCACTTGATGGGGTGGGAAGGGGGGGATCCACGATACTTCGTCTTCATATGGGGAGGAGGCTCGACAGCAGACAACTTGCGAGTTCGCCTCAGCGTGTTGTCTGCCCGCGCCCCGAGATGTTCGCACCGCGGCCCCGAGACTCAATCTCTCGAACAAGTAAACACGCCATAAACATAAACATTAACTTTTGGCGCTCCATGCGGATGTCTTGTATCCGCGGTGCGCCCCCCCGCGGCGCCTCGGCGCCGCCCCTGGCGCCGCTCCGCGCGCTGGGGAGGGGAGCCTGGCGAAGATCCAAGAAATCCGCGCGGAGCGCCAATAGTTTATGTTCATGGCGTTTCTTCTTCTTCTTTTTCTTATTTTTCTTCTTCTGCGCCCGCGCCCCAAGATGTTCGCACCGCGGCCCCGAGACTCACTCTCGCTCCTCCGGAAAAAGCAGCGCTGCTCCTGGCGCTGCGGCCGCGCGGCCCTCAGGGCCGCCCTGTCTGCCCCATCTTGCAGTCGGGGGCCCCGCGGGGGCGAGGCTGAGAGCCAGGAGGGAAAAAAGCACGCAGACAAGGAGAATGGTCGACTCCCGGGAAGACCCTGGAAAATATGGGAAGGGGGGGAGGGGGGAAATTCGATCTCGACCTTCTGGAAGAGCCGCGCGGCTCGTGGTCTCGCGCGCCGCGCTGCTCGCGCCGAGCCCGCGGAGAGGGGCCAGAGCCCCGGGGCCTGGCCGGTCGCCCCCGCGGCGTGCCCTGCCCGACCTTTTTTGCGCCGTGCGCGCAGGTCCCCGCGAAGTCTCCGGAGGGAGCAAACGCACACAGTCAAGCAGTGGCGAAGCGTCCCGGCTCGCCTATAGCCCCACCAAATAATGTTCTAAGAACCTTTTGTGGTTCCCACGAAATGTTCTTGGAACATGTTTAACACATCGGGCTTATGTTTAAGAATATTACTTGGTTATGAGAACATTGCTGGGTTCTAAGAACATTTCGTGGTAGGGCTATAAGAATGCCGGGACTGTCGGTCCCTGCTCAAGGAAAGTACAGTCGGGGCGCTGAAGAAGGAACCCTTTTCGTTGGGGAGGGGCTCCGTGTTCCTCCATTGTTTTACACTGTGCCTTGGGTTGTCCTCCGGTTTGCCATGGGCAATCGAAGCTCAGCTGATGGAAAAAAGGGGCCTCGTTTCTTATTTAAGGTTCCTTCGGTCAACGCCCCGACGGTACACAAGAATCGTCGATCCCCAGGGGAAGTATGGCGCTCGGCGCGGGTTCCTTGGATCTGCGCTGGGGCCCCCCCGGCGGCGCCTCCGGCGCCGCCCCTACAGGGCGCGCTCCGCGCACCAGGGAGGGGGAGCGGGCGCAGGCCTGAGAAGTCCGCGCGGGGCGCCAATAGTTTGCGTTTGTGGCGTATTTTCTTCTTCTAGAACCGTCGACCCCCAGGAAAATAGAAAAACACGGGAAGTGGAGGGGAAGACAAACATCCAGAGGTGCTGAAAACTCATCGGGGAACCCTGGGATGTGTGCCTAGTTCTTTGTGTGTCCCAGGACCCCTTCAAGAACCGCCGTCCTCCTGCACACCTCATTTGTCGCTGCGCCGTTTGTTTTGAACTCGCGGCCTTGCGTCTTGGGGAGGGCGGCCTGGGCCACCAGGGCAAACGCCGCCTTGGGCGCAGGGCTTGCCGTGAGGTTTGCTGCGGTGCTGGCGTCGTCTCTCTGGGGCGCGGGGCGCAGGGCTTGCCATGGGTTTGCCGCGGCGTCGGCGTCGTCCACTTGGGCGCGTAGAGAACAGCGGGCGCGGCGACTTGCAGTGTCTGGCCTCTCGCCTCCCGCCTGTACTTTTTTAGTGTACGATGGCCCACGCAACCCTCTCTTCGCAACCCTCCGCCGCAGGCGTGTCCTCTCGGCGGCGCGCAGGCGAGGGGCGGGCCTTCCTACCCAGAAGGCGGGGGGCCCTTTCAGACCTGCCGCGCCTCTCGACAGCCACACGCCCAGGACCCGAGCGGCGGAGGCCCAGGGCGGCCACAGCGCGCTCGCTCGCTGCCGCCCGTCGCCGCCGCCGTCGCCGCCGGCAGTTGGGCCCGAGTGGCGGCCCGGCCGGCTCGTTGCCGCCCGTCGGTCGCCGCCGCCGCCGCTGGCAGCATGGCCGCCCGTCGCCGCCCTCTGCCGCCCGTCGCCGCCTCGGGTCGGAGCCGCCCGGAGGGCCGCCCCGCTCGCCAGGCCCCGCGAGCGAAGCCCGCCCAGAAGACCGCGCCTCGGGCCCTCCGGGCGCCTGCCTGGCCCGGCCAGTTGCGCGAGCCGCGCCCAGCAGTGGTGACCGGGGGTGGGCGGGGGTGGGAGGGGGGGGGCGAAGACCGGAAAGCCAAGAAACCGGCCCCTCCTTCTACCCCAATCTGTCGACAGCGTGTGCCTCCTTCTCCGAGGCCGTTCTGAGTCGAGCCGCGCGTTCGTCAGGCTCTGCGAGCAAGGGACTGCCCCATGTCCGCGGCGGCCCTGCCGAGCGGCATGAGTGCAACGGCGGCCTTGCCGCGTGGCTTGTACGCCAGAAGTACTTTCTTTGACTGCAAGTCGCCCTGGATCGACACCTTGACCTTCGACGAGCGCCCCCAGTCGGATTCCACCGACGACCGCGTCTCATCCAAGTGGAACTCGGGGAGCATGGCCGGCACCTCGACCTCGGAGGATGCCAGCTCCCTCGGGAACCAGGGGCTCGGAGGGCCCCGGCCTGGTGACGGAGGGCGCCGCCCACCAGGAGATGGTGCAGCTCGAGCAGCCGGGTGGGGACCGCACTTCGGAGAAGACCAGGACTCGAGGAGACGCAAACATGGATTACGGTGGGGGCCCATGCCAAGAAGCACCCTGCTTGCATCCAGGGTGCCCTGGTTTTCTTAGATTTCGATGGTTTTGCGATGGAAAGCGAGACGCTCCCACACCAAAACTCAATGGACGTCCTGGGGTCTCAGGGTTGGGTTTCTTGTGGAAGGTTTCTTGTGGTCGGGCCTCCACTGTAGGGCGCGTGGACTAGTACTAGTGACGGGTCCCGCTTCCATGCAGAATCGGCGGGTTCCGTCGCGAAGTCACGCGGCGCAGGCTGCATTCTTCGGGCGTGCCTTCCCCGATCCATTGATCTGACGCCCACGCTCTAGATCCAAGGGTCCGTGATCCATGTCAGCGCTTGCACGAAGGACCCAGCGTCGTCGCGCGCAGCGGAAGCTCTTCAGAGCAGTCAAGGCAGGGATTGCGGATACCGGCGACCTCCCCTCGGGAGCTCCCGCCGCTTCCAGCAGCGGCAGCGGCATGCGGGGAGGCACCTCTACTAAGCTGTCCCTGGAGCCGCCCCCCTGGGCTGATCGCGCCCCCGTGCAGATGTCGGCCGCTCCGCGCCGCCTCGACACGCGGCGGCAGAGGAAGAACACCCTCTGGAAGCTCGGCAGCAGTAAATCGGCGGCGAGCGAAGGGGGAAGTGAGAAGGAGGAAGTTCGGGCTCGAGGTTCGAGATCTTCGAACTTTTTCGTCGTTTCAGGACGGTTTTCCAGCCTCGGGGTGCGTTCCAGCGGCCGCGCCTCGCCGAGGGCGTTCCGGGGGTGCCCGGATCGTCCCGAACAGCCACCGGAGAGCCGAGTTCTGACCCAAGAATCACAGGCGTCCAAGAAGGAGGAGGCCTTCTCAGAAGGCGGCGGGACTTCTCAGAAGCCCTCGCACCTTCTGAGAAGTCCTCTGCGCCTTCGGGGGGGCTCACAAGGCTTCTCAGCAGGCTGGGGGACTTCTGAGCCTGCTGAGAAGGCCCGCCCGCCCGTGGCTTTTGAGTCAGAACTCGGCTCCGGTGGCCGTTCGGGACGATCTGGGCTTCCCTGGAACGCCTTCGGCGAGGCGCAGCCTCTGGAGCGCACCCCGAGGCTGGGAAACCGCCGAGGGCCTACGGAAAAATTCGAAGACCTCGAATCTCGAGCCCGAAATGTCTCCCTTCTCGCTCTCTCCCCTGGGCTCTCCGCCGAGTAAAAAGGCGCTGACAGAAGCACCACGTTTGGGCTCAGGAGGGGCTGCGGAAAGAAGCACTGTGGGAAAACACACGGTGGAGGAAAGACACAAAACAGCACACAAAAAGCACACACAGTGTGTTTGTTTCCAGTGTGTGTTTGTTGTGTGTTGTGTGTGTGTGTGTTTGTTGTGTGTATGTGTGTGTATGTTGTGTATGTTGTGTTTTGTGTGTGTGGTGTGTGTGTGTCTTTTGTGTGTATGTCGGTGTGTGTTTTTGGTGTGTGTGTGTGATGTGTGTGTGTGTGTGTGTTGTACTGTGTGTTGAGTGGATGTGTGCGTATTGTGTGTGTGTGTTGATGTGTTGTTGTGCGTTTGTGTGTTTGTGTGTGGTATATGTGGTGTGTGTGCGTCTGTGTGTATGTGTGTTTTGTGTGTTTTGTGTTTTGTGTGCTTGTGTGTTGTTTGTGTGTTGTGTGTGTGCTTTGGTGTGTGTGTCTGGTGTGTATATGTCTGTGTGTTGTTTGTGTGTTGTGTGTGTGCTTTGTGTGTGTGTGTGTGTGTTTTGTGTGTGCTCCAAGAGGAGACCCTTCGTTCCTCGTCTGAGCGACGCAGAAGCGCGGGGTCGTCTGCGCCGACACTGGCGCGTAAGCTGCCCGCGTAAGTTCGCGTGTGCACGCCCTCGTTTCCAGTGCAGCGTGCCGCGCCGGCTGCCCGCGGAAGCCACCGCGTCAAGTCGTTACGCCGTCATGCGTAAGACCCGTCCCTATCTATCGCTCATCTCGCGCTCCCTTATGGTAGCACGATGACTGTAGGGCTTTGTGGGCCCCGGAAACGGCAGGGCCGTTTTTTCTCCGTTTCCAAAAAAATGCCCTTGAAAATGGAAGCGGGAAAAAAACAGCGACCAGAAACGGCAAAAAAACGGCTCCAGGATTGGAACCGGAGCCGGAACCGGTCAAACAATTGCGACGGAACCGGTAAAAAAACGGCGTCGGAACCAGCAAAAAAACAGCAAAACGGAACTTGTAAATAAACGGCCCTGTCGTTTCCAGAGCCCACTAAGCTGTAGGGCCCTTGGGGCCCTCAGAAAGCAGCCCTCGGCGCGAACTCCACACGCACGACGAGGTCGTGAGCCTCTCTGAGGGCCCTCACGGGCGGAGATCGTTCAGGGTTGAACGGCACACGTTGTGCGGCGTCGGATGCCAGCCTCCGTCAGGATGGGAGGCCGTCCTAGACAGGCGTGGGCCGCCGAGGCCAGCAGAAATGCCGCTGCCGTCTGCGTCGTTTTCGGTTTCCTGAGATCCTCGTTCGACGCCCTCCCTCGATCCTCGACAACCCTCCTTCGATCTTCGACACCCTCCCCGAGCACCCTGCGATCCTGGACCCTCCTTGACGTCCTCCTTCGATGCCTTCCCTCGATCATCGATGCTCTCCCTCGATCCTCGCCGCTCCTCGACGCTCCCCGGTCCCCTGTCCTCCCTCGACGTTTTCCCTCAATCATCCGCCGGCACCAGTGCCCAATTGAGCGCTGGCACGCGGCCCGTCACATCCCGTGCCTGCTGATCCTCTCATCCTTGGCGCATATGTTGCCGCCCTGCGCGGGCCGCGCCCAGGGTAATCCTATAGTTTCCGAAGAAGAAGCAGAAGAAAACACACTGTCAGTGCTTACACGTTGTTGTCTGTCGCCGTCGTTCCGACGCCGTCTGTTGCTCTGCAGTTTTCTCAGTGATGCAACAGGCTGCCCACTTCGCGATCCCAGAGTCGGCCCGGCCGTGGGCACGGGCATCATTTTGTAGGGCGGCGCGCCTGGGTGTCCGCCGTGTGCGCCGCAGCTGCACTGCGAGGGGCCGTCGCCACAGGTGTGCACCTGCGTGGGGCCGAACTTGACGGCCGTCAGCTCGGCCGTCAGCCTCCTGGCGGCGGGGCTGCTCTGCGCCTTCGCTGCGGGGGCCTGCTGGCAGCGGGCCCAGCCAGATGAGTCGCCTGCGCCCCTGGCGGCTGGCGATAGCGTCGGGCCGTTGGCCCGCCATCTAGCACTGCTGGTCAGGCGACGCGGCCCTGGGGCGATCGAGTCTGACAGGGCCTGATAGCGCGGGCGCGGGCAGGGCAGTTCGTGTAAGGGGGGGACGAGGTGGACAGCTTGCGCGTGCTCCACCAAAGGCTGGTGGTGACCATGGATGCTGACCCGCCTCGCCAGTTCTGCGGGGTCCCGCCTGGAGGCGACTACTATGCCGAGTCGCCGCTGATCGAAGGCGGCGACATCAGGGCCTTTTTCGACCAAGAGACGACCCTGGCGCTGCCAGAGGGCATCGACCCCCAAATAGTCGATGGGTTGGACGACATGCCAGACCAGCAGTACGCTGGCGGGCTGGCACTGATCGGTGCGGTGGAGATGCAGGTCGATCCCCCCGAGCTGCCACTGTACATCGCGTGGGACGTGCCGCAACGGGACGACTCCGGCGGCCTCCCGCTGGAGGACGCCGCGGCGCTTGGGCCTGGGAGGTATGCTCTGAAGGCGCGCGCGGGATATCATGAAGGCAACCTGGTCGCCCTCCGCCTGCCGCCTGCCGCTGTGCCCCTCGGCGACCGCGCGATTGTCCAGGTGGCGGGCCAGCCTTTCGCGATTGGTCAGATGACGACGGGGGACGCGGCGTCCCTGGCGGAGGGCGACCTTCGCACGATGCCACTGTTCTTCGACCCGCAGGGCGAGCGGCGCCAGACCATAGCGGACGTTGCGGCTCTCTCCAGCGAGAGGTCGTTGCCTGGCGGCTTCAAGGTGACAGGTCCTGGCACGCTGATGTGGACGCTGAAGTATGTTCGAAACAAAGACGGGCCCTTCCTTGCCGCCTACGAGATTTGGACGCGCATGAGCAAGGTCGCTGCTGGCGACAGTAGCGTCTACGAACCCCAGGTGATCTCCAGGGTGCTGGACGCCGCCGCGTCGCAGGATCAGCACAACCTGCCATTGCTGGAGCCCCTTGAACTCCTGTCCAGGCGCATGGCGCTGATCAAGGAAGCGCACAGGCTTAACCCAGCCCAGCCCGACTGCAGCATGGCAGACTTCTGCATGGGGCTGGGGGTTCGCCCAGGGGGCGCCGTCATCGCGCCGTCGCTGGGCGCCCACATCGCCTTGGAGGCTCGCCGGGAGTCAGCCCTCGCGATGGAGGCCCGCAAGGCGCGGGGGGAGAGGCAGCAGCGCCCCGCGCGCCCCCCCCGAGGGCACGGGCCGCGGGGGCGGCGGCAGGGCCGGCGGGGGCCAGAACCCCGCAGGGGCCTCATGATGCGCAGAGGGCCTCGGGGCCGGCAGATGGGCGCGCGGGCCCCCCTCGGCAAGGAGGCCCTACTATGCCCCAGTCGCGGGCTCGCAGGTGCCGAGAGCTGCCGCGCGATCTCTTTCTTCTTCCGAGGCTCGATGTGAACCTGGCCGTTCGCGCGCGCCCGTCGCGCCCCGCTCGGCCAAGGCCGAAGTTGCGTCGCGCCGAGGGGCCAGCATGCAGATGTCATGTTCGACTCCCTCCACTCGCTCCGCGGGGGGGGGGGCCTTGCCAGGCCCGGCGTTTCTACCGGCGCTGCGCAGCGTGAAGACCTCCGCGCTCTTCTTTGACATGCTGGCGCTGACGATGGTCGCCCCGCTGCCGACTCGCGAGAAGCCGCCCGCGTGCTTCTCCGGTCTAACCTCGGCTACGACGGAGGAGAGGTCCCCGGTATTGTTTCGCTTTGCATTCACGAGCTCACGGCAATCTTGGAGCCGACGGAGCGGCCCCCCATCGCCGAGCAGCTGCTGGACCCCGAGGGCGCCGTTGGCCCCAGGGAGTTTGGCACCGCCGCGATGCTCGACGATGGCGAGTTCGGCAGGGCCTGCGAGGCCAGCGCCCCCATCAAGCCGCACATGGACACGGTTTTCGAGCGCCCCCCCGTCACGTGCGCCACCTCCCTCCGCGCGCTGGCCGCGAGCGGGGTGCCGACATGGGCTACGTCGCCAGAGGACCGCATCACCCCCTTGTTTCGTTAAGAAGAATAGCGGCGCATTCAGGGTCGCCTGGAACTGCCGCGGGATCAACACTTGCTTCAGGGTGCCTCCTGCCATGGGCTTGGCCAGCAGATCGCTGCGGGCCGACGTCTCGGTCCGCGCGGAGGCTGAGCTGCACGCGGCGCAAGCGGACACATATATTTGTTCCACTCGTTGGTGATCCCGCACGGTCTTTCGGAGTACTTCGCGTTGCCGCCGGCTGACGTCTCGCTGGTTGCTGACTTCGCAGAGTTGCCGGGCTGCAGTAGCCTGCCGCCCCCTGGCGCGATGATTGCGCCCTGCCTGAAGGTCGCGCCGATGGGCTGGAACTGGGCGACGTGGATCGCGCAGCGGGCGGTGCACCAGCAGATCGCGGAGTCCAAGGTCATCGAGCCCGAGAGGGCGATCACTGACGAGAGGCGCATCCCCTAGCTGGTGCCAGACAGGGC